ATTAATTAATTAGCAAATACGGGTAGTATAAGAGCAGTTTTTCAGAAGAACAAAGTCATAAACGTCCTCATAACGGATGTGATGCGAGCTTTGACAATCGCGATGAATATAGAAAACGACAAGAAAACGCCCGACCAACCATTTATTTGCAAACGCAAACGACCCGATTGTGGGCTAACGTCCAATCATTCATCGTTTGCCTTTCACAATGAAATACATCAAACTGAACACCAAGGTAAAAGTTGCAACAGATCCTTCACTTTTAAGCATAATTTGAAAAGACACGAGGAGCTATGCTTTAGAACTTCTCGTTAGCTTCGCAAATTTAGCAAAATTTCAAGCACGTTTTTCTGTCTGGAATAGCAGAATGCACATGAAACATTGGTTAGTGCTGATACATTGGTTAATGCTGGATATAATGTGACAAGTGCTTTCTTTTTGTTCGAATTTCAGAATTTGAATTTTTTGGAATTTAAAAAAGTGTAAAAGAGAAATTACCAAATGATGCAAAATGATGTAATTTGATAGATAGTTTAACATGGGCTGTTATTTTATTGTTATTATTTTACAGACCGAATTTGCCCCTGTACTTTTCAAATCTTTTGATTCGATTGGTTCTAAACTTGCCAAAATAATACGGATAGATGCTGATCCGGAAATATCAAAAATGATGAACATAGAAATTTTTGCTCAAAATGCTTGGTTGGAGAATCAGGAATCTATTTTCTCTCTTATTCCGGTATTTGTTTATGGTATTAAAAATTTTATTGATAAAGCCTAGGATGATGGGAATGTGACAAATTGAAGAGAAACAGACTAGGGGTATAATTGTCAAGCAATCAGCAATGTTTTTTATCATCCTTTGGCGATAGATAAGCAATAGCGGGTATCCAAATACCGATCGTTGTAGTCGTTAAAAAAACATCAAAATAAACTGTTGTAGTCTTTAAAAAAACATCAAAATAATTCCTTATATTACTTAGGGAAAGGAAAAAGGAAAACTCATTTCAATTAAGACCATTAAACAACTGTCGGATGCTCTTGTAAAGAACTGTGAGTTTCAATTGAAACACGAAAAGATAATGGAGGAATTGAAAGCTGAAAAGTTTGACTTGGCCATTTTCGAATTTAATCAATGCTTTGCCGGTAAGTTACTTTTGCAGTATGAAAGGTTAAATATTTAAATTATATGATATCATTTGACTATCTATATAAGCTTATAATTGAAGTTATGGGACATTTCAATGTACTAAACTTTTTTTGAAATCATTGAGCTTAAATGAGATTTTAAATTTTAATTTTATAAATGTGAATTATATATTATAATGATGAGTTACTTTAATATACAATTTTACACGGTTAAGTTGAAATATTGAAACAAATTTCAAAATAATTCCTCTCTGAATTAGAAAAGATATTACATTTTATGAATATTTTAGAATACAAATTTATTAGAAAATTTATAACTACTCAGTTTTAAATTTTTCTCAATTAATATGAAATAATTCATAATCGAATTGCAGGAATGATTGAACTGTTTCATATACCAGCTGTCGTGAAATAGTGAAGACTGCCAGATATTTTATTTGCCGAGCTCATTGGTTGGGTAATCAAACTCCAATCAAATCTATCCAAATGAAGCGCTTAGTGCGAAAG